GTAAATGTACACACACTCGTAAAGTGCACATATGGAAGGGAAGCTGTGAGGGACGAAGACAGGCACGGAATGAATTCAAAACGTTTGGTGTCGACTCTTGAGAGGGAAACAAAAAAATAAAAAAACAAGCTCATACAGAGTAAAAGCCGACATGGAGGGAATATTATTATTTTTTTGTACATGATGGAGCGGTTGTCTTTAAAGCAGCTGGTGTGGTGTGTGAGTTTTGGGGGAATACTGCAGCAAGAAATGCAACCAAAATCTAAAAATAATAAAACAAACACATGAACACTCACTCCCTCACTCACACTACCTAATGTAACCCCAGAATTTATTAGAATCCCCTGATGTAAAAACAAAAAAAAACAAAACAAAAAAAACGACACCCTGACTGCTGCATCTTCCTGTTGCATTGCTTATTCTCCCTACCTCAGTCACTTCTTACACTAAAAGGCAATCCAGGTGATTAAACTTGTATGATCATCAGGCATATCCCACCAAAGTTCAAAATCAAGTAACCAAACAGAATAAAGCACAAAATTGTTCCAACAACAGAAATAAAAACAACTAAGGCAGATGATTGAGATGAAAATTAAGAAGAAAAAAACAGAATGATAACGAAGAGCCGCCAACAAAAGCAGCGGTGGAAACAAGGGAGGCACAAAAATAAAGGTGTGATGATAGTGAGAAAAGAGAGGAGAAAAAACACAGTCAGCTAGAACGGCCTCCAACATGAACCCCTTCCCCCTCTCTCTAGAACAATCAGCTGGCAGGCCTCTTCACAAGGGGCACCTCTCTGTCTCTGCCAGTCCACTTTTGGCACAGACGACACATGTTGAACCGCGACCGAGCATGTTGTGATGGCCCAGGCCAAGGATTTGGTGCCATCTATTGTCAGCCACAGCAAAGTGCCATTTGTGCACAGCTAAAGTCTTGTTGGGACGTCCAAGAGGCTGGCGAGAAAAAAGTCAAAAGTGTGGGTTTCGGGGGAAATCGATTTCAGGTGTGCACAAGACTCAAGAAACGGGACGCGAATCCAATCGCGAGGTGGAAAACCGGGTAGAAAGCAAAACGTTTGTTCCTTCATCTTGTCCTGCTGTTTGTGATGAATAGCAACTGAACGGTAGCACACACGTAAGTCGGTACAAGGCAAAGTAGAGCAAGCATCAATCATGACAATTCTTCTTTTTTTTTTTAAAGAGAGAAATTACCCTCAAATAAATACAACAAAATTTTTAAAAAAACGAAAAATGTAAACAAAGTCTACTCTGATGGAAGTCATAGTGGTGTCATGCATGTCATCTGGGAGGCTGAGCTACTTCCGTGTTTCGGGTGTCCGGCTGCCCTGATCGGAGAGGTGCGCGGGTGTAGGCGTGGTGAAGAGGCGATGAGCTCCTCCTACTCCACTTTCACACCCATCTTCTCTGTGTTTAGTAAGTAGAGGCTGTCGTCTATCAGGAAACTGGAGATGAAACAAAGTAAGAATCATTCACCGTCAGGTACGTATGTCTGTATGTTTTCCCTTCTCAAAGGCACATCTAGCAATCGCATTTCTCCTCCATTTAACTGACTGTTTAAGGCCAAACATAAAAATAATTTCCTATTCAGATACTGCCTAACATGCTGCCCTTTAGCTCTGAGACACTGGCAGGACAAACCTGTAGAAAAGGAAGTGCACTGGGATGGTGCTGAGGTGCCAGACAGCGTGAGCGTCTAAGATCCAGAGCAGCGGAGGGAAGTCCAGCAGCTCCAGCAGAGCCAGACCGTGAAGCAGCAGCACCACCAGGCCACACTTCCACCAGTACGGTAGAGTCCGCCGGTTCTGCCAGCACCAACACAGCCACCACAGGAGGTTCACCATGCCTTTAGAGACAAAAACAGTGGTGATGATGAACTCAGAGACCAAGAAAATAACGATGTGAGCTGAGTAACAGTGAAAAAGAAATGACTGCAATTCAGGTGTTAATCCTCTGAACTCAAAAACCCACCAGCATGTTTGAAATGCGTTTTTTCAAAAAACCTGCCAAACTACACCATTCATCAGAGCCAGAATTTGTCAAAACGGACGCAATTCATCAGAGCTTCACATTTCTGAAGGTCCTTGAACTATTCATCTTTGATGTGGAGTTCAATCAGCAAAATAAACCAAATCTAAGCTGAAAATCCTGATATTTCATCTAAATCAATTTATTCTACATGCCTCATTTAAAAAATTGCCAAAATTTTTGCTCTAAGTGGATCCAATAAAAAACAAAAATTTCTGCATTCCTCTGAACAACCGTAAAGCCACGAGTGACTCCGCTGTGACCAACAAAGTGACGACAATTCAGGACTTTTCAGCTGAACTGGAGGCGGTGCTTACTTTGAGCAGAGAGGAGACAAGTTTGAGAACAAGTTCAAGTAGTACAATATCTATCGTATGCAGAGTCACCATTTTTTACCACTTATATTCAAAGAAATTCCACTTCTGCTTTTTTGTTTTTGCTTTTTCGTGCTATAACCGTGTCATACAGTGCAGATATATCGCAGTCAAACATGAGCCCACAGTGAGTAAAAGTGTAACAGGAGCAAAAAATACCCCAAAAATTCTTTAAGTTCAGAGGGTTAAAAAAACAAAACAAACAGTGGAGTACATGTAGTGCCCATGTGCTTTACATAAACGTTATTGAGAGGCTGCTACTGTGAGAACTAAAGCGACGCGTGCTTTCAAACTAAATATCCCACTTGTCCCTGATCAAAGTGTAGATTTATTATGTGTACTGACGCAGCTCACCACTTATTGATCTTCAGCATTGTCTACAGCAGCTCTGTGTGTGAAATTGGACAAACTATTCCACATAAAAATAGTAAATGAAAATCTGGAGCACAGTCGGAAAGCTTCCCCACAAATGCCCACCCTAACAAGAGCTTCAATGAGACTTCTGAGCTTTTACTGTACCGATGGTTGCGTTGGCAGCCATGTTGTAGCCGTAGTCAAAACTGACGAAGGTCAAGTATGACACGTGAGAGGTAAAGGCCAAGATGAGCAGGACTCCCACCATGCTGGACACCCCAGGTCGCCTCAGACCCAAAGTCCTGGCAAAGAGAAGAGGGACAAGGAGGGAACAGACAGTGTTAGAACTTGCACACTTGGAGAGTTCAAGCTGATTTTTAAAAGATTCCCAGACTCTTTGACAACATTACTGACTTCTGCTGAAGCAAATATTAGCTCGTTTTTTGTTGTTTGGTAAATATCAAAACTGTATCCTGAAAATAGCAGACAGAAATATAAACCAGTCAGTGATTAGTAGCTCTGAATGTGATTTGAGCTCTCCGACATCATTAGCAGGACACATGGAAGACCTGCTGTGGAGCTTACCTGACACAACACAGGTAGATTGAGTAAAGAATGACGGCTGTTGCACAGAAATAGTCCATTTTCTGAAAAGAGAGGAAGTTTTAAAAACCTTTTCCAACCTACACAAAACAACGTCAAGATCAACAGAAGGATTTGTGGATGTCTTTAAAGATATACTGCACCCTCCTTTTGTCAGTAATTGCATTAGGATGTTACTAATTTGCTAAGCTCATTAGCAGAGGAAACAGCAGAACCCACATCTCGTTAGGTGGTCGGGCAGTTCAAAGGTGTTTTAGTGGCTCTCCCATGAGAACACAATAAAGTTGCATGAGGTGGTGTTTTATTTTAATTAACACTGAATCACATGACTGCCTGTAATCTGAAAAGGCTGCTTTTAGTTGCGCTCAGCTCTTTGTTTCGGACTGCTGATGTGTATATTTAGCTACAACAGCTTTCGCCAGCTGGCCGTATAAACAGCTGCTACCAGCTATCAAGCTGAGACTTTCTCAGAACTAATTGGACCAAAATGGGCCTGAAGGTGAGAGATTAGAAGCTAAACATCATGTTAGTCAGAAGAACTTGACCAGCCAACGACTCTTTTTGCTGTTACTTTTATTCTGCCCTCAAATGGACAAGAATTGTTGTATTATAGGTATTTATGAGTCCTTACCTCAGTGAGATAGGTGTCCCGGGTGTGAAACACCGTGGACCAGAACCAGGCATTGAGAGACACCTAAACAAACACGGGCTCTTGTTAAACGTGCTAACTTTTGTCGTGAATCTTGTGTAAAGTCACAGCAGACACGGTGGACTTTCAGAGCATTCATTTGTTGTTGTCGTTTCCTCCACCTCACTGAGACGCGTGGATAAACTCACCAGAGAGAAGGCGTTGATGGTGTGGTACATGGGGCTCTGGCGTGGCACCGTGCTCCGATAGCGCAGCAGCATGAGAAGGCAGGCCAGGCCATTAAGCAGAGAGGCCAGCGCAGACGCCGGCTCCTCGAAACACAGGAAGCGCGCAAACGGCCACTGAGAGAAATAAAACGCATCACCTGTAACTTCAGACGTAACTCAAAGTAGTTCAAGTGAAACACAATTGAAGCACAGGAAGTCATAAATCTAAAGCTTATGATTCAAAACTATGTCTAATAGTGGAATGTCATTAAGATGAGATTTTTTTGGTAGATTTTTTTTTTAACTTTGGTGTGATCTATTAGAAGTACCGACCTTGCCGTGGAACTGAGGGACTCTGTAGCCCTCAGCCTGGTAAAGGCCCACAGTGGTCCACATGCACTGATAGCGACAGTCATCCCGGCAGGTCCAACCTGGGAACAAAGAGAAAAGAGCTGAGGGTGGTGCAGACACACATCAGATGGTCACGTTGAGCTTGTCTTAGGATTTATCAACAATTAAATAAATCTGTAAACCTTTTTGATTTACTGTAAAGCAAAGGGGACTTATCAACAAGTCATTTTAAGCAAAAAATAATAATTTATGATAGAGATTTTTATCTGACTACAGCATTCACAGAATTATTCTAAAATATTTTTATCCACTTGAGAGGAAGAAAATGAGCAGAATCCCTGATCTCTGGTCCACTTGTAGCTTTATTGTACACTAGACAAAGACTACCAAGCTATTCTCAAGGGCAACGAAATATTGTCACAGAATGTATTAAATCTTATTCTTTATCTTGCCCAATCTGCATCATGGACTGTATCACAATGGTCTGACTCATGTTCAGGAGCTGCATGTTACACCAAAACATACAATCTCTGCTCAGCCTTTCTTCTAACCTGAACATTGTGCACAATGTTTTCTGAGCATTCTTACAAAACAATCCTATAGAAGTTGTCTAGAAGAGCTCACACATCGACCTTCTTCATATATGATGATTATCAACCTACTGATTATTTACCACCAATAGATTTTTCTCATGTGATTATGTATTCCCACAGATGGTTATAGACTTTCTGACAAAACGTCTACTTGTTATGTCCAGTGTACAAAGCAATAAGTGACTTGATGAATTTAAAAAAATAAAAATGAACAAAAAATGTTAGGTTATAATTTTGTTACAACTGGTTTAACAAAATCAGGGACTTGTTTTTCAGATGTACAATAACATTAACAGTCAGTAGGAGCTGTGAACCTGTGCTGTCTGTATTTATAGCTGCAGATAAAGAGGCCTTTATTCTGATCCTCTCTGCAAGTTGATTAGATGCCAACTTGTTGTGCATTTAAATCTCACCATCGACACACTATACAAATGTTAATAATGGGGCAAGGGTGGGATCACAATGGGGCTGTGTGACACCCCGCTCGGCCTGTTGAACCGGCTGTTGTACATGTTTCCAGAAACGTCAAAGATGAGAGAATATATGGGATTAAAAGTCACCCAGCAGCCATGACAGACGCAGAGGAATCAGCACAAAGCCGCCGCATGGACACTCAAACACACTGAGACTGTTTACAAAGTCATGAGGTTCGTTTAGAGAATGTTAAAACATGATATATGTAAGTTCAGTGGATGTGGGGGATGAGAGGTGTGCAGCTAGCGAGCTAAGTTAGCCTAAGTTACCTGGCCGACAGCAACTCACCTGTCAGCGCCATGTACTGCGGCTGGGCGGACTGGAAGCCGCGTAGCCGGGCTCCGGTGCAGTTAGTCCGGACGCACTGCTTCACACAGTCTCGGTAAACCGGCTCCTTGTCGCCTTGAGAGGACTGCACGGTGGTCGCCGACATGAGGAGCAGGACCACAGCGGCGAGAGCGGGGAGTCTGACAGATGTGCAGCGGGGCGACGCTGCGGCCATGGCGGCGGCTCTCGGCCCGTCAGGACTCACGAAGGCACGGCGGGACGACGGCGGCACTAAGCCCACAGTCCGCATCAGCACACGGCCATCCCGGCTTTGTGGCGACAAACCGGGCCTGAAGTGTTTACAGTCAGAGAGTCCGGTGTTCCGCCGCTGCTGGTCACCGTCCGCTGTCACACTGCGCCTCCTGCCGCCATCTCCACAATAAAACAACGTCTGCGTGTATTTGGAGCGACAAACCGTCGAGTTATAAAGCTGCACACAGATCACAGTTCAACATGACCTTCCCACATAGCGGAGAAAAATAATGTACTTTTCGTTTGCCTGCTTATTCGTTAGATACAGTCTCGGTATTTTGAAGTGCCTTGTTAGGAGCTTTAACTTTGAAGGCAGCAGGTTTTGTCGCAGTTGGTTTTACATCCTGTTTCAGGTTGAACGTCACTGGGTCACGTGACGCATTGATCTATTGATTTTGTACATTTCGTATTGGTTAACGGTGTTTTCAGTTGCGAAATATCGCTTTATAGACTTTTAATCAACGTTAGGAACCGGAAATAATAATAATTATGATGAATTATTAGTTAAATAATTGTTAAATGATTAGGTCTTTATTATGTATTATATTACTAGGATTTAGTTTGATATCACAACTGCTACAGTGTTCTACGAGCCCTTCTTTTGTTTCCCTTCTGTTTTATGACATGATTTTTTAATGATCTTTGCCTCGAGATTTTTATTTTTTATTTTTTATTAACTGATGAGGATCTGCCCTCCTCTGGTGGAGGATGGATGTGTCTTAGGGTTAGATCCCTTCACAAATCCAGTTACAGGGTCAGTCAGAACAGGATGATGGTTATAAATAAGGGACTCCTCCCTAATAGTGTGACGTTCAAAAACGGTTAAAAAAAGAAAAAAAAAACTGCATAAATACTGTAATGTTGCGTGATGCATTGTAAACGAACGACTTACAATTTTGGACATTAATTACTTTTTTTTTTTTTAACAGTTCATGTGTAAATCAGTACATTTTTTCCTCAATGTTACTAGTTTTCACCTGTAATTTACCCATACAGGGGAATTCTATAAAATACTCCTACATTGTTTAAAAAAAAATTTACAGTTAAAAACTGATTAAAAGAGGATTTTTTTTCACAGTGTAGCAGAATAAAGAGCAAATAAACCCCTTCTATTAGGATTTATTATAGGAGCCATTGGTGAGGGTGAAAGGAGTTCTTGGTTTCTGGAACATGTCCAAAAGTTACGCAACAGCTCCAGGAAACCCAAGAACAAAGGAAAGTACACTGATGACACATGTCCAGATGATAACACCTTCTAGTTGACACTTCAGAGAGATGTCAGCTGTGGCAGAGCTGAACACGCTGAGCCACTTCTAGATGTAAAATGACAATGTGGCCTGCTATGATTGTCTTGGTTTGATTTGAAGTATGTTTGGAAACGTCCTCACTGTCAGCAGACACCTTTTTTTTTTTTTTTTTTACTTAGATGTGAACGAGTTTAACTTTAAAATCTGGAAGGAAACAAATAAATGTCAAAGCCTGCAAGATGGATCATAAATCTGTTAAGTGAAAGAAGGAAAACCCTTCCTGGAAACAGCACAACCCTGGCTGGAAATAGAGGGAACTCAGGAATGTTTTTGTCCATTATAACACCGTTATAATACCATGAATCAGAAAGAAAGAAAGAAACTAAATTTCTTTGAATATTATTAAAATCTGGAATCAATACGTACAACATTTTTCCACTTGTACACAGGTTTTACCAATAAAATATATTTTCACTTTACATACAGAAGCACTACATTTTTTAATTGGTTTCCACATTTGTCACTAATCTAAAGTGTGTAAACAGCCTGCACTTCAGCCAAAAAGTCCCCTGAATTTTTGTCACGTGACTCTTGGTTGCAGCTGATTTACTGATGACTTCACAGTTGAAAAGAGGAGCCCAACCTTTTTTTGTCTTTTACAGAATCTAGTTAGTGCATGCAGTTTATTTTTGCCAATTTTAAAATAAGATATATAGAATAAAATGAGTTTGATGAAATATCACAGTTTTAAGGTTAGATATAGTTGTTTTCCCCCATGGAATAGCAAGTCACATGTGATTAGTTAAAACTGACAATGATAAATGGTTATGATGATTAAAAAAAACATGCAATAACCTTTCAAACCATCTGCTATGGTTTGGTTTGCAGAGAGTTAAATAGCAATAAATACAAATGGGAACCCATTAGTTTTGCAAGTATGGGGTACACATGAAGCTGGCTTGCTGTCACACTTTTATTCTCATACAGTGTAAACCACTGAAATCTAAAAGTAAATGATGGGCTCTGCTCATGTTTGTCTTTGTAGAAGTTGTGTCTGAAGAATTTAACCCACCAGCCCTAAACCACCTCTAAAACCACAGCTTTATATGAGCTTTTAAAAAGCCTGGAGGCTGCTAACAGTGACATTATAGTTCATGTATGTGTAGGTTATGTATAACTTGGATGCCCAAAAAGACACCACATAAAACAACCTTAAATAAAGTACCTCCAACCTTGACAACTGAGTGAACCCACGTCTGCTAATCGCTCAATCAACAGAGCATCATTAAATATTCCATTTGACTGATTCATATGTTGTCACATTTATTTATGGCTCAGTAATGACCAGTAAAGGACTTGAAAGGCAACAATGCAAAGGCGGCAGTTGATCTGAATATAGAACGCTGTGCTTCTCCTTAGCAGGTTTGACTTATTGTGGTTATGTTAGGTGTTTCTATTATTTTGTCCCTCTGTACTGCATATTTAGGATCATGAGTTGCATTGAGAAATGATTTTGCTCTCTGTTGGGATGATGGACAGACATTAAAGGTCAGCAGTTTTGACCAGCATTTACCCACAGCTTACATCTTACTCCACTCAAACCCTGATAAAGCTTCACCATACGCATATTCCAGTCAGTGCTGCTCTCACCCACACTCCCACTTAAACCAGCAGACACAGCGTCGTACGAAAGATAGTGGATTTTATTTGTTCTTCTTTATTCGTTACAGTGGAGACACAGACACAGTCACAACAACAGGAGAGAAACAGCAGCGAGAAGGAGGAAGAAGGGTCAAAAACAAAGATGTTTTTATTTCCTCTTTCCTGCCTCCCACTCGCCATCTTTCGCCATCTCTTTCTCTATTTACAGGATTTCAAATTTTTAAATAAAAAAATCATGCTTCTCTCCTTTCACTGCAACTTTTCCGTTCAGACCTGTGTACAGGAGAGTGGGAGAGTGATTAAAAAGGGCGGGGCAGGTAAACTATTATAGTACAGTACTCCCACTCTTTTACTGTGCACTCCTCTCCAATACAAGCAAAGTGTGAGATCCATAAAACACTCTGTGTCAGGTTGAGACTAACAGACCGCCGGGGTCAGACTGCTCACTTGTTTCAAGCGAGTTACTGTGCATGCACCACAGCACCCAAGAAACGTTTTGACCTGTATACGATGGACTGCATATGCATGCACACTGTACGTAGGTATGATGCATGCACTGTTGGCCTCAACACAAGAAGGACAGAATGAGTGATGGGGAAAAGGAGGAGGGACAAGAGGCAGGGACAGAGATAGAGAGAGTGTTTCAGTGTCACAAGATTATTTTTTATTGAAAATAATCCCATGTTCCCCTGTTGGTACTCACACACAAACACCCCCACAGCCTTCCGTCCGCTTACGGAGTATCTCGATAAAGGAGACAAGTCTTTTTGTGTGGAACTGGCAAGTGGAAAGAGCGGGCCTGGACGCGAGTGTGTGCAAGGAAGCCATGGCGTTGTAGGATAGGGAGTGAGTAGATGGTTTGATGAGGATTGGTTTCAACGGTGGTGGAGATCTTGAGAGAGAAGGATTTACTCCTCCTTTTCCTCTCCGTGTGTGATGACGTAGCAGATGTTCTTGTAGTCCACATTGCCAGCCACATCAGGGGGGAAGGCAGCCCACAGGTTGGTCATCTGCAGAGGAGGGATTAAAAGGAAAGTCTTAGAAACCCTGAACAGAGGAGGGTATAATCGCAGAATGAGACAAAGACCAGTCAGCTCACCTCCTCAGCGGTGAACCTGTCGCACTGGGTGGTCAGGAGCTCCTCAAGGCTGGAAAAGTAAACAAGAATGATTAAATATTATGCCACAAAGAGTTCAAAGTGCTCGACAATAAGGTAAAGGTTAAAGCCCTTACAATTCCTTCTTGATGGCGCCAGTGCCCTCGGGGTCCAGGACCTTGAAAGCGCTCACGATGACGTCCTCGGGATCAGCACCTACAAGCACAAGAAGGTCAATTAGTCTTGATCCAGAAAGAATCAAGAATTATATTAGGATGAATGAATGATATGAAGTGACCCAAAAGGGAGGGCTGACTAGTCTAAGTCCAGGTGTCAACGCACCCTTCAGCTTCTCGCCGAACATGGTCAGGAAGACGGTGAAGTTGATGGGGCCGCTGGCTTCCTTCACCATGGCCTCCAGCTCCTCATTCTTCACATTCAGTTGACCCATGGTGGCCAGCACGTCCCTGAGGTCGTCCTTGCTGATGATGCCATCTCTGTTCTGGTCGATGATTGTGAAAGCCTGCCGGAGACACAAAGGAGCGATTAATCAAAGAACACAAAACCTAAGTCGTGCCGTCGGTGAATGTGGTCGAGGCGGATGACATTCAAAAGACCTTCCTCCAACGAAAATACAGTTACTGGAAACTGTGAAAACTGAGATTCTCACATGTCTCACAAGTCTTAATCATAAGACTTGCTAATCATAATCATTTGCGTGAGATGACCTGCCAACGTATACGTGTAAATGTGGGGCTGTTATCCGCTACTCCTTCCACATAGCAGGGCGTAGCAACCAATGAAACCAAAGATGGCATTGGGAACCTTTTGGGACTTGGCAGCTGGTCGGCCACTTGTCTTTCTAAGGTGTTAAAATGGTTTCGGAATGTGAGACAAGCCCCTTGCGACATTTAAGGAGAAGGTATTGATTACAGCTGTCATCCTTTTGCCTTGTGACTAAATCTTCTGACCCTGTCGCCAATGTTCTTTCACCTTCTGAGGTCTATAAAGGGTCAGATGAGCTACTGTAGCCATTGTGTTCTCTTTCATTTATACCTGGATACTCGACTAAATCCCACAAATGAATCCTGATTTTATTATTTAGCAATCGCAACAATAATTCCCTTGTTAAGCAAAGCACGATGACTTTAAATGTTGGGGGGAAAAAATGTTTTGGGGGAAGGAAATAAACATTTTTGTTGCACTTATTCCTCCCTAAATGTAAACCGATCTGTAGGATCTCGAATGTTTTCTTGTTCTTGCTGCTTTGAGCCCCTCTTTCCTGCTTTCATTAATATTACCGTCCACCAGCTGTTGGGCTGCATTCCAGTGGAGTCACAGAGCCGAATTACTGAGCTAGCACAGGGGAGAGGTAGCTGCTGTCATCAGAAAAGCTCAGATTTACCGTCCTGTCATGCTGATGGCGACATTTCTTGCCGTCACGCAGCTAAACTGATCGGAAGCTTTCTCGCGTTACCTCCGAGGTCAAACTACGCGTGGAGTCATCAGTTACACGAGCACCACAAAGGACCTCAGATCTTACAACTAGAAAACGTGAAGTGTCTGAGATGTGATGGAGAAAAATTTTACCTCCTTGTACTCCTGGATCTGGCTCTGCTCAAACATGGAGAACACATTGGAGGATCCACCCTCACCCTGCTGCTGCCTCCTCTTGGCCTTCTTGGGTGCCTGAGGAGATGATAAAAGGTAAAATACACTTCAAACACACAGCACATAGACCTCACATAAACTCACAGATTCTGGATATATCTGGTCAGAAAAGGATCTAAATTTAATGGATACAGCTCTATTGTTCTTCAGACTCTCCTGAAACATACAGGTGAGCAGGTCTATGTGGTGGCTTGTGCCAATCTTCCAATCGAACCCCACTTTAGAGTGAAGAGCTCCATTTTTTTTCCCTTAAAAAATAAAATAAAATACTGTCCATCTTTAAACTATCATTCAATTCAGAACACTACATAAAAGCTTTGATTAATTTAATTAGGAGGCATTTATCCCCCAAAATATTGTATTTTGCTATCACACCATTATAAGGTTTGTGTGTTAGCCAAACTTTAGTTCAAGCCAGCAGATAAAAGTTAAAACTGGGTCCAAATCCAGAGTTGGGAGGCTTGATTTAAGAGACTCCCGCAATTTTCACTTCATGGGATGCTGGTAATCCAGATAGCAAATGTATCAGTGATGCGCTCATCTCATCAGAGAAGATCCTAGAGACTGTTCTTCCACACTCACCATCTCTCAAGTTTGTGGGGTTGTTGGTGGTCAAGAAGAGAAGCCTACGCCAAGCCGATGTGACTGACATGTAAGCATTGAATCCTTGGGGCCTTATATACTAGCCCGCGGGGGGCTAACTTTAGCCGCACCATCAGGTTTGGCAGGAAAACAGAGCTGAGGGAAAGTAAGAGAAAGAGGGAGGAGCGAGGAGGTGACAGAGCGGATCGGTTTACTGATGCTCCAAAATAGGCCGCAAGAGTCTTGGAATGAGGTGAATTCAATGCCAACACATAGGAATGACTTTGGTGGAATCTGTGGACTAATATGGCCAAATGGACAAACAGGACACGAAGAGGGATAAACTGAACTGTCCTCATTCCCTGTTTTCTTCTTGACATACTGAGAGTCTTTGTTGTGTCTATTTTTGATACCTTTATATCCACATGGAGAGAACAAAACACAACCTGTGATTATAATACACACACACACACACACACACACACACACAGATGGGAAGCTTGTCCTGCCGTCGACCTGGACACTGCTTTCTATTAATTAACACCCCGAGCGGCCCGATGTGCCAGCAGATAGCATATCGTGAAGTCATCACCTGTCTAAATGATACGTTTCGTACTACTACCGGATCAGTAGTAGCCATCAGGGTTTATAAACAGTCATGAAAGTTGTTGGCTGATGGATACTGGTCCGGATCCAGTAATGACACTCGACTACTAGGCGTCTAGAAACAGTGACAACGCATCAATGAGAAATGCAAACAGACTTTTAATACTTAGAGTAGGAAGTGCTGTGTGGAAATACTGTGTGTTCGAGTCACAAATTGGGATCTGAAAAAGAAAAACATGACAGATTAGACACCATATGAAGCTGTTTACATGCATGACATTAAACTTAATAAAGATTCTATTCAGTGCTGTGATCACAGGGTCTTCCTCTGTGATCGTTGCTCACATCCGTGATGGAAAACAGCAAATGACGATTAGACTAAATGTGCAGTTTTCCCACCATGGTTGCACTAATTTAGGTTCCTCCTGGACGCTCCCAGTATAGTTTCTTTAGAACAGGAGGACAGTGACCCACCCACTAAACACCATATATGAGCTCCATAGGCTGCCATCAATCACACCACTGTACAGCTGAGCTATGTATTGGGATCCAGCACCAGCGAGAACCGATACCGCGTCTGTGCTCGCTTGTTGGCCCACTGGTATTTCAAGCAGCAAAATATGACCTAAATTCTCTAAAAGGAGCAACATTGCTGACTATTTAAAATGTATGTACATGTATTTTCCTAATTGATTTTAATTGACCTGAGATTTGTTTGCTGATGAGTGAAACCAGAGAGAATAATTTGCAGCGAAGGAAACAAAAGTTGATTCAGCGTAAAGACGGTGGCGAGGCACTGCTTCAAGCTGTGGGCTTGAAGGTGAAAAGAGAGAGAGAGGCAGACAGAGGGAGAAGGACCAGTCAAAGACCATAAAAACAAGACAGCTGTACAGACGGAAATAGCTCTGCTGCCCCCCACCGTTCTCTTTATCAGCCATTTTGACTCTCTTCTAAAATTCAACAGACTTTGCCCTTCTTGGCCTGCTTGCCTCCAGACAACTGCCCTGTCCTTTTTTTACCCCGTGCATTTGTCTGACTTGAAGTCAAGGACGCTTCTGATTTTATTTCACTGGTTTATAGACAAGTCATCAATAATATTTGATTAGTGGATAACAGGGCGTTGTATCAGAAATCAGTGGGTTTAATGTCATAAAAACTTGTATTTAAAGGACATTTCTGGTCACAGAAGCTTTCTGATGATGTCTTACACTCTATTTAATTATTCTGATCAGATGGGACCTGATTTAAAATCAATATGTAGCTAATTTTAGCAGAGGTTCTGCACAGTGTTTTGTTTTGGCTTTTCTGTGAAAATGATCAGTTCTAATTGGCTGGCAGGTGTTGAAACAGACAGTGCAGCAGGAAAGATTTGTTTGTTTGCACTTTTATATTAAGGAGGCCTTAATATAACATAAAACCTTCTAATTTTATGTCCCTATTTCTTTTTGCTTTCCATTTCTGCCACCATTGGAGTGCAAAATGTGTTTGAGCGTTATTAAGATCAGGTTAAATCCTGACTTTAGTTATCCTGATGCCATATTTACTCCAGTTATAGCGGATGAACTAGCTGGAGCAGACAAACATAAACACACAGGAGTCACTTCTGCAGCTGCTGTCTATTGTGTGCAAAGTGTCACATTAGGAAATGACGTCACTTTTATGAGGACCAACAAGCAGTGGAGCAGTTCATAGATCATTTATTGATAAATCTATGGCACAATAAGTAAAAAAAACAAACAAACAAAACACCAGTATGCTCTTGAATAAAAAATATATCTACACAATAATTGCTCTAACTTATATCTACAAACAGCTTGGTGATGCAAACATGGTTATTTAAATTAAGACTGAGAAACTGAGTAAACGTCACTTTTTTTTTCTTTTTTCTTTTATCCAAAATCTATTAAATTTCCTTCTTGAGCAACTTCACCATCATTTCCTCTCCTTGACCAACCAGCGATCAGTTCCTTTACTTCCTTTCCAAAGTCCTCATGCAGTTTGCTAAATTCCTCCTTGGTGCTGAAACACATTGCTGACCACTCCCCCATGGACCGGGCAGGAGCAGGAGCGTTAATGGGCACCACATTAGCGCTCCTCTTGGGCCACAGTTTGGGGGATTTCTTACTGGCTGATCTGGGTGAAACATTTGGAGCTTGAAGCAGAGGACTGGAGCCCAGACCGGGTCCTGCTGCCACCGCCGGCGATGGATACGAAGACAGAGTTGCAGCTTGTGTGTTCATAAAGGGTGCCGGATATTCTACTTGCGCTGTGCTGAAATTGGGCATGGTGAAAGTCTTGCGTGGTTCCCTGGCGGATGCGCCTAAAGCATCTGAGGAGAGAGGAAGAAGAAAATACACATAAACAAACAGCTGGAGTTACATTAACAGAGAGAATAAAGCTGCTTACAGTGCATTTGTTTTGGCAGACGTTTTAAAAGTTGCTTATTTATTATGTTTACATAAATTTCCATGCGTCCCCTTTCGTCCTGTGACTTAGAATTTGTTCCCTCTTCATGGAGGATCTTCTGATCAAGTAAAAGTATCTTAAAGAGAAGAAAGGAGGCGTCTGGAGGAGCTCAGAATGAAGAAACACAGATCATATTTCTCACGTGTTCTATTCTGGTTAAAGCTAAGAAGAAATATGAGAAAAGAAATCAAAAAGACACAATGGCGCAATGAAAAGCACCAACTGCCTGGCTCACTGTGATAAGACGTCCGATCAAATCAACATTCCCATAATTAATGGCTGACCAATTACAGCCAACCTGGTCGTATAGCACCGTCTTACAATTAAACAACTCAAACATATCAGTATTTAGATATTTTACTCCTGATGAAAACCACTGTTTCTACTGTTTAACCACAAATCAGGTTAAATTCTTTTCCCAAAGTTCCCACATGGGGGCCAGATTTCTTCGTGGACTCTAATGAGACTCACTGTCACATATTAAACATGTTCAACCCAATGAATAACTTAATCATGTGTTCATTATGACAGTAAACAGTTTAACAATAGACGTCTAAAGCCCTGTATTACACATACATAACCCCTCAATAAAACCAATCTCTACTCAAAGACGTTCCTTCTTTTTAAACTAGAGAGGAAATGATTGCATTTTCTCAAGCTGGAGCTTGTGTTGTTGCTAAACTGGATTTTGTTCTGCAGCAGAAGAAAACAACACTTACACCTTCCAGCGTGCTGCAACTAGAGCAGAAGTTAGAGGTCCATTAATCCATTAGCTGACTGATTCAGCAGCTGTTTTTGATTTTTATGAGCAAAAATGTGTTTTTCTGGTTTAAATGCGGCGTCTAGCTATTCAAATGTGAGGATCTGAAGCTTTTCTTTGTCGAGCATGATGGTGAAATTGTGCCTTTGTGTTTTGACTAATCCTCAGACAAGAGAAGATGTCAAATTGAGGTAGCAGGAAATTACTATTCACTACTTTTAGACATGAAACCCCACGCTGTGCCCTCACACAGCTACAGCTTAATTAGCTCCTTTCTGATAAAGTCTAAAAATGTGACGCGTCTTCTCAAACTGGCAGACAGTTATTATGAGATGAGAACGTGTCTCTGCTCTGTACCACAGTGTACATGGTATCTAGAGGCTGTGAACACTGATGCAACGCCTCTCACAGCTGCTCTCCAGAACAAAGGTCGCTCTCTTCCCTCCACACAGATAAATAATCCGCTGCCTTTCTATCTCTCACCTTTGTACTTGTTCTCCATGTCCATCACCAGCAGGGACAGGTAGCTGTGGTTGGCCGACAGCAGGGCTTTGATCCAGCTCTCCTGACTGGCCTGGTCCTCCGCCGCAAACTTGTACGTCCGCAGGCCCGGCTCGCTCCACACCAGCGAGAAGGCGAACTGCTCCTCGGACTCGCACAGCTGGACGGTGCAGCCCTCCAGAACAATCACTCCAATCGGGTCCCGGTCAGTGTGCCGGTCCTTGTAGAAGAGGAGGTTCCCTTTCAGCACGAACCAGCGCTTCTGATACGACGTCTTTATCTCACCCTGTGCGACAGTTGAGCTCTTTGTGGTTTACTGAGTCATTTAGAAATGTGCTCAAATTGTTACACAACGGCTTCGAGGAAACAAGCAGCGAAGCAGGAGGTTAAATGTCAAACAGAGCAGCAAAGAACGAAGCAGATTTTATTTTATATTCATTTGGGAATCTTTGGATTTGTTGGGTTTTAACCTAAAATTTTAAACAAGTCAGATAATTTGTTTGAGAATGCATCAATGTAGGTTCTTGACCTAAACACTTAAGTTCATCAGGGTAATTTATATCATTTATAGCAGTGGTTCTCAAACTTTTTGAGCCACGACCCCCAAGATAACATAAGTTTGGTTTCATGACCCCCCAAGTAGAATTATTAATATATCATGAGTAATAACTTTGTTGTTCATCCATTAATACGTTAAAAATGAATGTGTTAATTCCACAGATTAATCTCTTTACATTCATTTTCTTTTGAATGAATGAATGAATGAACTGAATTTATTTCGAACAAATTAATGGAAAAATAAAAACAATTTTTTTTTTTTGAAAAGAGCAAAAAAATAATAATAATACCACATAATCAAATCACAATGTTAACAAGTCCGAAAAAGGAGTAGGAAGAAGTATACACCTTTAATTTTGACAGCCCAAATACACATTTATTTGATAAATGTATTTATTTTAAATTTCTTTTACAATGATCTGGCGACCCTCTGAAATTATCTTGGGACCCCTATGGGGGTCCTGACCCCTAGCTTGAGAACCACTGATCTATAGTATTGCATAGTCTTAGCCTTGATGTAGAAACTAGTTGGGTAATATTTACATAATCACTAATACATTCGTAAATGACTGTAAATGTGTAATAGTCTTACTTCTCTACAGGGCAGCACTTTGGCTCCATAGCTGCTATTTTAAATGTGGTGTATAAATAACTGTGACTTAACTCATGCTGACATATTACATTTTTGCATCTATTGTCTCCTTTTTTTTTTTAAACTTTCCATGTTGACTTCTGGATATCCTGCTTTTGTGTTGTCTGTCAAAGCATTTTGTAATCTCTTGCTTTTAAAGTTGCTACACAAATTAAAAGTATTATTACCACGATTATTGTTTATTTGTTTCATTGTGCTTTATTTTGTAATCAATTACAGATAATTCAGGCATCGAAGTATTTTATTTGATGTACTTTTATTTATCTGATTTTATTTAAATGTGATATGTCTTTATCATGTAAAGAACTTTGCAGCATTATTTTGAAAGGTTTTTATATGATCATTACTGAGACAATGTTTGAAACATCTGCGTAGGTTTCGTTTTTACATGAAGGGGAACACATCAAGCAGAAGTCTGGACATTATTTGAGCATCAAACGTTGAATTTTAGTGACATTTTATGCACCTATTTGTTCATTTTCTGCCTTCATATTTGTAGAAATGTCTTTTTTTATACTGAACAAAAAGCATTTTACTACATTCTATGTATTCTTTATAATATGGGGAAACAAGTATCTTTACAACTGAATGGACGTCACAAGACAACCAAGTACACACCATGTTGTAAATAATAACGGGCAGATGGAGTGTGGGGTTATAGATCAATGATGAGTTCATAAAGTTAATGAATGTTGTCTTTCTCTTCCTGAAGGACTCTGTGAAGCTTGTGGACATTTTAGCTTCCAGATCATCGTGTGGCAGACGACCTGTCACATCATGCTGTCTGAAGTTAATACTTAGACGACAAATGGTGGCATTGAGGACATTCAGGTGCCTGTTTATGGCTCTAACCGACACGCCAGCATCTGGGCGTCGGGTCACTTTAGATCTTTATCCTTTAAAGCCACATCTGGATTAACTCAGGAGTCGACAATTTAAATTTTCGGTGCACAACTGGCTAAATTTTATCTGTTTTTCTAACGATAAAAATTCAATATAATTATTCATTGAATGTTATTTGTTTATTTTTGCAGGACAGCGCACACTTCAAGTAATCACACCAGAGTTAGCCAGCAGTTAGTTTGCGTGTGTTGTTCCTGATGCAGGTACAAAAAAAAAGCAACAAATACACAACATAAAACAACACGAAACCTAAAAAGTCCATCAGTTTGAGATAATATGGAACAGAAATTAGGTTTTTAACTCTTTCTCTCAGTAGTCTCCTGAAATATACCTTTAAAATAAACCTTATATACAGATTTCAGGGTATCCTAAGACTGTGCAGCAAAATTGCAAGGATTGACCTGAACGACCTGTCAGCCCTAACCCTAACCCTATCAAATCAGAATTTTAAGCAAGGCCCGTTCAATCCTTACGGATCAGAACCACCCCTTGGCTTGTGAGTTCCTGCTGCTTCCATCAGGGTGCAGGTACAAACCCTAACAGACACAAGTGTTCTTCTGTCCCTGCTGCCATTGCTCTGCTGCACAAGCAGATCTACTTTCTGTTTTATTTATGCATCATAGTCTCTTTATTTATTGCTGTTTGTGTGCGACTGTTGCACGGATTCATTGTTTTATTGCTGGCTGCATCGCAAATTACCCCACAGGGACAATAAAGACTCCTAGAACCTTGAACCTTAAATATGGAAAGGGATAAAAACAAGTGTCGTCCTATAATGTATTCATATCCTTCCAGTAAAGAAAAGGCAAAATGCACAATAGTCACAGAAATAACTAGAAACTGAAAAAAGTAATAATAAATAAAAAATTACAAAATTATAATTTAGTGAAATAAGATGTTGCTTTTGAATTGTGATTGAAAAAAATAATTTAAAAAAAACTCCTGGACAAATTAGAGCACTTTGCTGATGAGCAGTGAAATCAAAATAGCTGTCAACAGGTATTTTGATTTCTTACTTTATTTTTTTTCAATATTTCTGTTGAACCACAATTCAAAAGCAATGTCATGATTTTCATTAAATTTTTATTTATTATTACTTTTGTCAGTTTCACCTTATTCCACTGACAGCTGTGTTTTTTTTCCTTCTTTAATGTGAGTATATGAACACATCTGACTGTAAATGAACTTAAAGGTGAACAGAGTTGGGTATGATCCGTGTGGAGCCTCTTACCTTCTTGTACAGGTAGCCTTCTTTGTCCACAGGTGAGCTGCAAGCTTCAAAGTAGGTGAGAATTTTCTCATCAATCTTCATTTCAACATCACAGGGTTCTCAAAGCACAACCTGGAACACAGCAGACCTCAGCCACGTTGTTGTTGTTGTTGTTGTGTTAATATTTACGGTGTTGTTGATACGATCTGGAGGCTGAAGAAGCTCGGACTGATCGGAAACCTTCACATACCGAACACTTGTAAAGCGCCAACTTTAAACCAGGAAGTAACTGTTGATCATATTCAGCTGGAAACGAGCCAAACTGCCGCCATTAATAACTCGCCAGCGGTCTTAACGTCAGTCTGAGCCGCTTTACGACAACAACAACAACAAAATGACTCAATGTCGAGTTTCACGAGTAAAAAAAAAAAAAGTTGAGAAATGACGATGTCGGGCGGTTCCTCTCGTCCACATGGTTCTTGTTTACTCACCTTTTCGTGGCGTGTGTGGCTGCTGGCAGCGTCCTCGGTGGGCGTGTGTGTGTGTGTGTGTGTGTGTGTGTGTCGCTGCTTCCTGGTGGAGAGCAGCAGCTCCACGTCAACACACACAACAAACAAAAGCCGACCGGGCCGACCTCCGTGGCTCCGGTCCAACTGATCGATCACAGTAATGCTCTAAATAATGATTATTAATGAGACTGATGATGTGGCTTCAGTTCCTGCTGCATTATTGTGTAATTATGTGTAATTACGTGGTTCTGTCTTTGCAGAAGTGTCCTGTTTAAAAAAATAAGAGTTTTGCAACGTCATCAGGTTTCAATGTTGTGGTTTAAAAAAAAAAAAGCAAGTACACTGCAAAAAAGTGTAATTAAAATAAAACAAAAAAATTAATTAAAAATGCTCAAAATGTCAGATTTCCCCCTTTTGTGTAATTACAGATAAGAACTTTTTTAATCACTTGGGAAAAAATAAATAAATAAAAATACTAATTGACATGTTAATTAATTTTTAAAGCCAAAAGTGTAAGTCAAGTCCCCCATTAATTTCTACTTTTTAATATATTTTTCTTTTTTTTGTTTTCTAATACTGATTGGTACCCGGACTACTTTTTCTATACAAAAGGGATTTTATTGTTAAATCACAAAACAGTTTTTTTTTTTATTTCTAACACTAATTCTCATATATTTATGGTATTTTATTTTTATTATTGCAATTCTTTGAGTGATAATCTGTCATTTAATGGTGGTTATTATTGTGTTCTTGTTGTATAAAATTAGTAAATGACTGAAAACAGCTAATACTGTGTTTAATGTACATATAATAACCACATACTAAAACAGCTTTTTCATTTACTATAAATTTGCTATATAAATTACAAAAAAAGCATTAATTATTTACAGTGTGGGGACACAGTGCATTTCAGCATTTCACATTCATTTATCTTCTTGTTCCATTTTTAGGCATAAATAATCATCAACCTCATCGCTATCAGATAAAAGTAGTGGAGAAGATACAATATTTTTCTATGAAATGTACTGAAGTAGAAGTAATATATATATATAATTTTAAAAAACTCTCGTAAAGTATTTCAAAACCGTGCCAAAGTGCAGTACTTGAATAAATCTACTATAATATTTAGCAGCCTTTGAATGAAGTGAACCAACCTGCTGAGGAACGGTTTGCTTGAAACATCACTCACGCAGCCATTTGGGATGATAATAAATTAATTTATTGCTTCAGCAACTCTGTTTTCAAATCACGATAAATATATTCAACAAACAAGCAAGTATTTAATCTGTCTGGAAAATCAAGCAATCAGGCAATTTCAATGACAATCATGCTGCTCAGGTTTTAAAAAGCGTCCGTTACCTTTGACTTATTTAACATGAAAGCGCGTTCTGTGTGTGATCAGAGAGGAGGAACTCTACATCACACAGCGTCACCCCAAACTATTCAGCCTGCGTCGTAGACATGAATTTGTGGAGACTAAAATCAATTCTAGCAGAGACGCCCGAATACAAATTTGTAAAGCAAATGCCATTTTCAAAAAGTTTCCTCTTCAAGCTCGACTAGCAAATACATTAGAAAGACCAATAATGTAGAAACAGGACAAAACGAGTGAAGATCAAATGCCGACGTGTCGACCAGCCATCGTCTGAACCACTCAGTCCTACCTGCCAGATGATTAGAAATGACCTCCTAGTAGTTTTTCTCATTTGCTGATTCAGCTATCTATTCATTTAAATTCCACAGTTGGCCAAATTGAGAAAATAATGCTGCAAAGACACCAATTAATATCCTCATAGTCTGTCTCTGTATGAGTGCATCTCCATCTTTAAGAAACAGCAGAATTATTAGGACTGTAGTCTCCAGGTTGATTGTTTGGTTCATATTCTCTCATCAGACCAAATTCTCATCACCTGTAAACAACCCCACGCCTTCACAGCTTTGAGTCGGTCCAACCTGACTGAGATTGCTGGGTTTAAATAATTCAACATTTACTGAACGTTTGCTCAGAGTTAGTTCCAAACCAACTGACATCGTGTCACAGAAGTCACCGGCTGCACTTTGTTCAAGTGGACGGCCAAAGAGAGTTCAGTCGTGACTCGATAATCTGAAAACCTTGCTATCCGACAGGTTTTTAGGAAAAAGGAACCAAACCCATTAAAAACAGCCTTAACGTACCGACAGCCTCGGATACCGACTCCAACATGACATTTTATGTCACAAATAAGGAGAACGGTGTATTATCTGACTGAACAATCCCACAGATTGGCTACGTTCACACTGCAGGACTTAATGCTCAATTTGGATTTTTTTGTGGAATCTGTTTTTGTGAGTTCGTTCACATTTCCAGTTAAATGCGACTTGTATGTGATCTGCTGTGTGAACTTCATACGACTCAAAAGTGTCCCGCATGCACAGAAGAAGACACGACGACGTCACACGCAGCGAGCGTGCTCAGTGGAAGTAAAGTGGCCCCCCCGACCGCGCCGAGTATTCGGACATTCATCATTAATTGGATCTGTGTTGTTCAGACTGTCATGAAAAGACCAGATACAGGACGCATAGGTGAAAAAAAAAAAAGGATTTGGGTCACTTCAGCCTAGTTGAGAAATCGATGCGTAGTGTTCTAACAACACACTAGTTATTATAACAACTATAAACAATAAACATTAATAACAAATGAGCCTTCAAGCATCAAGCCCTCCTTGTATCTCAACCTCTGTTTTGACAATCCGACAGCCTTGCTATCCGACATAAGAGAAGGTTTCACATTTAGGATCGGATTATCGAGTCACGACTGTGTATCTCCTGACAGCAGCTTGTATATCAGCTCAACATACAATCGACCAAGTTAATATAAAACAACAGGCTAAATTCTTAAATAGTTTTTCTGCTAGAATTCATTTCCATTTTAGAAATGACTTGAACATGGGGAGGTGCAGCCCATTCTTTGCTGACTCTGTTGTTATCATTCCGGTCTAAAATAATGAGGTCAAAACGATTATGCAAATACGAGCCGTTTATGCTGATTCATAATGGATTTAGGATAATAAGGCAAGCAGATAATGTGCACTCAGTGCATGCATTTAGTTCATCTAGAGATAAAAAGATGTTTTTCCCTGTGACCAGTCGATTGGTTGAGCTGTAGGCATTATTCTCTTTGGTTGACTACAGCCCTAGTAATCATCACACAACTGGCATCAAGTAAATCCTCATAACAATTCCACATGAGCTACAAGGGCCTTGTCACTTATTCTGTAGCTCACTATTCCTTAAACTAAGGGCACAGATGAAAAATCCCCCCTCGCTTTTTCTCCACAAAAGCAATTGTACTGAATCTATTGATTTAATGATGTAATCAGAATTGGTGCTCGCTCCATGTTTGCCGTATCTTCAAAGTCTCTCCGATGTGGATCCTCTGATGTCTTTTGAGATTCTCCCCTCGACTGAAGCTCTTCCCACACTGGTTGCAGTAGTACGGTTTCTCCCCTGTGTGGACCCTCTTGTGTTTTTTCAGGTCTCCTGCCTGACTGAATCGCCTCCCACACTGTACACAGCCGTACGGTTTCTCTCCTGTGTGACAACGCTGGTGGATTCTCAAGTTCCCGACCCGGCTGAATGTCTTTCCACACACAACACACAGGTGGAGGTCATCTCTCCTGAGGTGCTCCATCCTGATCTGTCTCCCATCCAAGGCAGCCCTGTTGGTTTTTGAAAATCCATGCCTCCTTTGCGAGGTGTGATTTGAATGGACGAAGACAAGTCCGCTGCTAACTTGCGGCCTCTGGGTCTCAGCAGAGGCGTGACGAGAAGAGTTGCAGCTTAAATCCACGCATCCGGCGTATTGTTCTTGAGTAGGTGGTTGCTCGGATGTTGTGCACTCTGTTGGGTCTGATTCTCTCTTGATGGCAGCCAGGTTTACTCCAAACAGGCTGCTGCTGGAGTAAGAGCTGCACACATTACTAGATGCAACTGAACCTGGATCCCTGTTTGCACTGTGTGATGTGTGGGCAGACGCTGCATCCTCGATAACATGCGTCACCTCCAATGGTTGTTTGCAATGTTCTGTTGATGTCTGTGCCAATTCAGCTTGTGACTGAGCATCACCATGGCTCTCCGGTTCTTTGGACTCCCGCTTCACATCAACTTTGTGTATTTTGATCACATTTTGCTCCATGACATCTGCTTTATGTCTCTGACTGAGGATCAAATCCTGCTCGTGATTCTCTGCGTCCTCTTTAACTTCAGGTAACGGCCCACTTGTAGGTAGAACAGCTGTGAAATTAGAACCAGAGGGAAAACTCATTGCAAATAAATCACTTCAACCTGAACGGAAACGTTACATTAACTGTAATGCCTCAAGATAATCACGCTTGTACCCACGAGTGCTTTCTCTGGGTATCCTGTCCTGAAGCTCCTGCAGTCTCCTCTTCAGACTCTCATTCTCTCTCTGCGTTCTGGCAGTTTTGGCCTGATACTCGGACACCGTCTCCTTCACCGCCTCCAGAACCTCCTGCACCGCCTCAGTCAGCAGTTTGGCCACACGGGCGTTCAAACGCTCAAGTTTAGACATCCTGAAATGAAAAACCACAAAGGGAAGAACAGAGTGAGGATGAGTGAGTGAATGAGACGATACGTAACCCTGTGACAAATGAGCAGTAATAAAGGCAGCTGTTATTAGATAGTAATGAATAGAAAATGTCTGATGCTGACATGGTTGTGTGATTAACAGACAGAACAGCAACTTGGGGCAAATAAAATTTAGCTGGTTACATATTAATTGGTACCAGATCCATAATAAATGATTCATTAGTAGTCAGCTATTAAATTAAGTGCCAACTAGTTTGATCATGAATTGATTTGGGTGATTTTTAAGCCCCCAGAAGTTGACATTTTCTGATTCCAGCTTCTTGATATTTAATATTTTCTGATATCTTCACTCCTTTATGATTTGAAACAGAACATTTAAGAACGTCATCTTTGGCTTCTTTCTAACTGCAGTGGGGTTGTGCATTAATTATTCTGACATATAGTTTAATTACAGTTAATATTATCGTGTTTACTTAACAATAAATACAAATACAGTCCAAACACGTGTGACACGACCACACTGAGCTGCTGTGTCAGTTCCCTCGCTCTGCGTGGTTAAGTGCTGCAGCTGTACCTGCTAGCTAGCCGCGAGCTTAGCTTCCTTCAACGTACACAGCTAACGTTAGCTACATTAGCTGCTAACTCCGGACGTTGTAATTTTCCATTTGAACGTCGCAGAGGTCCAACAAACGGCCGCGAGGTCCCTGTGTCAGGAAACGCTTTAGTTTTAAGGGTTTCTAAGCACTGTAACGGGTCAAAACTATTAGAAAAATATTAACAACATTACAACGCACAACTCTGAACGTAACAACACAGTCCACGACCTCCGGAAGTAGAAACTAAAGCAGGTCCACGTTGTGGCGGATTTCACAATAAAAGCTCGAGTTTACTGTTTTTTATCAGATTTAACTCTTCATTGTCTTGTGACATATTTAGTGAAACAACAAACTGATCAAAATGACTTCATGCTTTATTTAGAAACAAGTAACAACAAAAATTAGATAAAATAACAATGGGTCAGTAAAAAGGTCTAGGTCTCCAGTGTTATTCCTTAAGCTCCATTCAGACATGCTCTGCTTTCTAATAACCTGACAACATCTCAGGATGCCAGCTACATGTCTTAACAAGCACCCAGTAAAAGTCACAACTTCCTCTTACTAGGCCAAACCTAGTTACATCTCAAAAAATACTTTCAACACAACAAATGTGAACTGCATGTTGTCACGTTAACGGATAGACACACAAATGTCAAACTTTGAGTTGTGTGAGGCAATTTGGGAAAGATTTTTTACAGATTTCAGGGCCGATATCGGTTCAAAACACATCTAAGAGCAAAAGATACAGTTTGTATGCCAAAATCAACATTCTAATTCACTTTCCTCTACAATTTAAAATCTATTACAAATGGAAATGTTCTTTAAAAATAACAGCTTACTGTGATAAAAAAAAATACATGCACAACAGCTCAATTAACGAAACCCAAAAATAAAAAAATCCCCCACAACACATTCATAGAGCTGAAGTTGAGTTTATTGCATCCAACTGGTTTTTAGGAGTCTTTCCTCTGAGTTTATTAATATCTGCGTCAGACACATGAGCATCTCCAAAGTGAGGGAACAACAGTAACTTCATTAAACACTTATGATGATGTGATAAACTATCCCCAACATGGAGACAGGATCAATCACGATTTAACAGTAAGTAAATGTAAACTTTACAATGTGTTTCTCATTCACCCATTTATATATTCATACAACAGTTGTGACAGAGCTGCCATGTAAGGTGCTGCCTGACACTGGGAGCAACTTCGGGTTCAGTGTCTTGCCCAAGGACACTTCGACTGTGGAGGGGCGGGGGATCGAACCGCCAACCTCGCGACTGGAGGACAACCTGCTCCACCACCTGAGCCACAGCCGACACACTGTACACTTTTGTTCTTAACAGACAGGTGAGCTGTCACACAGAGTCACAGTTTATAGCTGCAGTTTAATTATTTGTTCTTCAGATTGAGTTCTGAGCAACATCACAGTTATCAGGACGTCTTAATTGTACTGTTGATAAAGTAGTAGTCTCATTATCATCACAGGTAGAAAGGTTTCAGTCATTGGGGAAATCATAAATAAACAATTAGTTATTTGATGATCCAGCTAATGTAACTAACAGTTTGTCAAGTCAAGTTGGATAATTTTGTGGTATTCACGTGCACAAGTGCATACAAGGCATTACAACAGTCTGGTGGCTTACATAAACACATGAAGTATGTATGCATAGAAACCACCGTCCAACCATTGTCTGCAATCCAACCTACAAGAGAACACATGGTTTCTTGGTGATTCGTGAATGGCTGAGGAAGGCAAGCACGGCCTCATCAAACACCTCATCCAGTCCCTCCTGGTTGATTGAAGCACACTCAAGATATTTAACAGCCTTGATTTGATTTGCCATTTCAGTTCCCTCCTGCAGGGTGACCGTGCTCTGATGCTGCTGCTTCAGTGTCTCCAGGACCTCCTGATTATCTCGCAGGTCACTCTTGGTTCCCACAAGGAGCAAAGGCACATCAGGGCAGTTGTGTTTGACTTCTGGGTACCATTTTTGCTTCACATTCTCGTAGGATGTCGGGTTGGCAATGGAGAAGCAGATGACGATGGTATCCACGTGGTTGTAGGAGAGCTGGCGAAAGCGAAGGTAGTCCTCCCTGCCAGCGGTGTCTGCAATAGTGAGGCAGACCTGCTGGCTGCCGACACTGACCTGTGTGCTGTGTGTATCATAGAAACATGGAGTGTAGACTCCTGGAAAGGATTTGTTGATGTAGGTGTGGAGTAGGTAGGACTTTCCTACTCCATTGTCTCCAACAATCACACACTTGACACTCTGCATTATGACAAGGAATTCTGAAACACAACCACAATATTTCAATGGGTTTTGTTCTTTCCTTTCTATTAAATGCTTTAACACCTGTCCTGACATCACAAGATGTTATAGAATATTGATTATATCGATGCTAATTTGTACTTTTTTAAAAACTTTTTTTAGTGATTTGTATGGTTACATTTGAATCAGCTTCTGTTGTTGTAAATGTGTGCTATAAATAAATAAAGGTAACTGATTTATTTTGTAGTGTCCATTTACTGTAGCAGTGAACCTGGGTTTGGTTTTTTTGGTATCACAGGCTTAAACTGAAATCCTGACTTAATTATTTAAAGTTAGGCTTAAAGCAATTCTTCAGTCGCATTTGCATTTTTAAAAAATCTCACAGTTACGACACAGTAAGTCATAATTACAAGAAAACATCTCATAATTATGATATGTGGATCTTTTTCTTGAATAAACCCCCATTTATATTGACATTCCAGCTCATATTCATGACATTAAATAAAGTAGCACCATTATTCCTGTTGTCTCAAGAGTAGCATTGATTGATATCACCCGTTACTTTTCTCCAACGTTATCTTCAAAATGTGTACTTTTGACCTGTGATGATAACAGACATGATATCAATAAACAGAATAAATGGAAAAATCAGACTCACCTCTCAAATCTGTTGTAGTTTCAGTGGTTAAATGTCTTGTATCCTGTATCTTACTTGCCTGAGGAAAAATGTAAAGAATGTGCGAAGCAGGAAGTCACATTTCGTCATTTAAACCCAGTATCTTGCTTAAACAAGTTACAGCCTGTTGGGAGGGAACATGAAATAGCTGCTTGAAAATCTGGAATTGAGAAACACCTGCAAAGTGTTGGGAAATATGTGTCGTCATCCTCCTTTAAAGATGAAGCAGAAAGGCACAGCAGTGTTGATCTGACGAGTATAAGGTTCAGTTAACTGTTTAAAGCTCAGATTATTTAAACTAAATCTACAGTAAATCTCAGGAAGGAAATTGCTCAATACGTACAAGAAGGCAAACATAAGAGCTGATATAATCCAGTTCAGCAGTCAGTTGTCCTGTACAGACACACAAGAGACACACTTTTAACGTTGGCTCAACTCTCTGCTAATTTGGCATTAGCTGTAGGAAGTGTATTTTCTGTACACGACTGTTAAAGAGTCAGAGATTTTTTATACGCTGTCCATACTGTTAAAAAAGCTGTAAAAACAGGATGAACTTGAGTTGAGCTCTGAGTCTTGGTTTTGTTTTCCATCTCGTCCACCCGCCAGAGGTCATCGGTCTCTCAGTCAGCTGTGTTCAACATCCGCCTCCCCTGTTCTGCCACCTTGTCTCATGTGTGTCTTAGTGTTGAAGGATTCATCAGTTCCTAAAATGCGTCTTGAGGAGATTGGAGGCCTTCCAGTGTGGATGTCTTTTCAGCACCCATGGAAGAGGCGTAAAGCTGGAATATACAAACCAAGAGCAGGACTGACAAATCTAAGTGTTCCTTTTGGATTAGTGGGGTACATGTGTGTGTTTAAATGACAAATAAAATTGTATAATATCTTTATATTCTTGTCATATTATTCCACATTGTGAAGAAAATTTAATGGAAGTAAAGTAAATATAAAGATTGTCATGAACATTGCTTTGATCGTCTCAGAGACCATCAAGTACGATACAGAAAAGGGACGGATGAGGCAGTTGTGCCACATGCCAAGCATAACTGACGATGTCTCATTTTAGTAAATATCAGTTGCTTCATCTCTTTTCCTTTGCTTGTATCTCAGGTGGGAGGATCTGAGATGCATAAACTGACAACTGAGAAGAGGAGCCTGTTGTCCACTTTCCTCACCGGCCAGATCAGTGCACTTATCTTCCTCTTTGTGTTTTCCTTTCCCCCCCTCTTGCCTCTTTTTCCGAGAGCCACGAGTTCTGCTTTACCCTCTGCTTTTGTTTGCCCACTCACCTGCCATCCGGCCTGTAAGCTTCTCTTATCGGATTTGTCAATAAACCACCGATAAACTACCACCTGCTGTTTTCCTGACACCAATCATGACAACTGCTGTCTGATGCTTCTCCAAAAACACCACAGATGCTTATTAAAATGATCAGACACATACGATGCAGTAATGCTCGGTTGTCCAGTGACTGATCGAGTTTAAAATAGCAGGAGGACAAACTCTGTCCTTTTGTCCAGCAGACCACAAGCTGCTCAAAGCCTCGGTGACATTTTAAGGCGACAAAACAAATGTTTGTTTTTAGATTCAAATTTAGTGTAATGTCAAAAATAAAAAAATTAAACCTGGCAATACAGAGCTTGGCATGAATTGCATTTATTTGATTTTCAGATTTGTAGGTCCACAGTAGAAACTTCACAATCCACAGTAAAATGTGACAAATACCAGTAAGGCAGGAACAACAGGAATGTGACAGGTGCTCTACAACAATGATTTAAAAAAAAAAAAGGCACATCTACTTTTTCATGTATTTAAACTCAGCTGAACTCTAAGATAACGCTGTGAAATGCCTCACAGATGAGTTTGCTGGTGTTTCTTCATGTTGCTCGAGTGACTAAAACTTTTGCCGCAGTGACTGCAGCCGAACGGCTTCTCTCCCGTGTGGTAGCGCAGATGCACCGTCAGGTAGCCCGACTGGCTGAAGCGTTTCCCGCACACCGAGCAGCAGTACGGTTTCTCCCCCGTGTGCACCCTGCTGTGTTTCTTATAGTCGCCTGCGTGCCTGAAGGTTCGGCCACACAGAGAGCAGCAGTAGTGTTTCCTGACGTTTCTCTGGAATGTCGTTGAGCCAGAGAATCCCACTTTTGTGCTAGTTTGAGTGTTTTGCTGTTTTTCTGCTCCACTATCGCTGTATCTTTGAGACATTGGCTCTTCTACGTCGTTTTGATCGAGACTGAAGGCGACCCCCGACTCGCTGTAGAGTCCAAAACTGGCTTGAGGAGGTTCTAGGTTTAAAGATGTCGTGCTTGTCGGTGCATCATTGTAAAAACAGTTAACAATGCGCGGCCCATCTTCTTCTGATGCAGGCTCCACTTTCATTTTATGGTCATTTTCAGAGACTGGAAGTGTGACAGTGGGTTCTACGTGGTCTAAAACTGGTGTTCTTAGTCCTCTATCAGTCCCTGTTTTAAGGTTTCTGGTGTTATCATGTGGTTCTGTTACGCCTTTGGGGGAGAGATGGGGGGAACCTAATGATGTAATGGGTGCGTCATCGTCTTTAAGTTCATCTGAGAGACAAATTACTGAAGCGTCCTTGTCAGAAGGGATGAGTTCAGAGTCATCTCTCAGCTCTGCTTTGGGTTCCACCTCAGCCTGCTTGGACTCAGGGGACATTTGCGGCACCATTCCTGCAGGACAACACGATGATGACAAACAACAATAATTTTTTTGCAAACTTTTCCAACATTTTTGGACATAAAAACTTAAGGTGTGTCTTCTTACCATTGCTCTCCAGGTTTATCTTCTCCTGGAGTTCCTGCAGCCTCCTCCTCAGACTCTGGTTCTCTCTCTGGGTTCTGGCAGTTTTCTCCTGGTACTCTGACACGGTTTCTCTCACAGCCTCCAGAACCTCCTGCACTGCTTTACACAGCAGCTTTTCCACTCGCGCATTCAGACGCTCAACTTTGGACATCTTTACGGACTGGAAAGATAAAATGTACACAAATTTACTCGACCTGTGGAAAAGCAACAAACAGTTACTTCTAACAATCGTATGACTTATTATTACTTAATATTATTCACATCCATGCCAAATTTAGATTTATTGTGAATTTTTATTGGACCAATAAGTTGATTCTGGCTGGAAATGGCACACAGATGGGATGCTTTGTCCCCCCAAATGTATCCAAAATTATTCATACCCACTGCTCCAAAATGTTGGGTTTTGTTTCTTGACCACTTTGGCTGTTTATTTCATATCACTCTTTTTGGGACGTCAAATGCTGGCCGAGGAACAGTTTCTCTGAGGAAAAGTTTCCCTCTAGAATTTCACTGTCGTCCTCTTTTCTCATGATGCCATTTACTTTGACAAGGTTGCCTGGCCGGATGCAAGGTGCCTCGCAGCAAGAAGGTCACTGGTTTGCGTCCCGGTGAGGACACCCGGGATCTTTCTGCGTGGAGTTTGCATGTTCTCCCCGTGCAGTGTGGGTTCTCTCTGGGTTCTCCGGCTTCCTCCCACACAGTCCAGAAACATGTTGAGGTTAATTGGTGATTCTAAATTGTCCGTAGGTGTGCAGTATTGGCATTGGAACTAAAAAATGTTTTATTGCAGCGCTCTTGAACACGGTAGAAACCTTCACAGCCACTTGGAATGGGACAGAAGCTGCATTACTTCAGTAATCTGCACTCATTTCATGGTGTATGACTTATTTTGGCCATAATTATAGCAAAAAATAAAAACATCTCACGTCTTTTGTCATGTTTATGTCATTTCATGCATAAGAAACCTGTTGGTCAAAGAAAAATTCACTATAAATCAAAACTTGGCATAGATATGTACAATTTAGGACTTCACTGTGTGTTGGCTGTTGGATATTTATGCAAAAATACAATCAACACACAATATTAATGGTCTAGTACAGCAACAAATACATTTCACAGACAAACTGCACAAGAGGGCTGCATTTGAAATAATAATTATTAACAAAAGAAGCAACAGGATACCTTGATTTGATTCCGTGCAACAGCCGCAGTCTTTGTTAATCCCAGTTTATCCAGTGCTCTTCAAACTGGAGTCACGCATTGTTTCCAGTCTTCACATTTATGCAGAAACTCGTCGCGTTTAGGAGCCATCATTCCTCCAGCTGGAGCACGAGAAGCCAAAGCAGGCGTCCATTTGGCATCTTTAGGTAAAGATTTCCCTCACAGTATAGAAAAATAATAATTTAAACTAATAAACATCCCGATAATTGCGGTTGTTGTGAGCAGGAATCACCGTCTTCTTCCTGGGTTTCAGGTCAGTGGTGTCCAGGCTGCGGTGCGCTGCTGCCCCCTGCTGGTGGGAACACGGAACATCCTCTGCTGGCTTTACAGGATGTACAGTCAAATGTATTCAAACCCTCCCATTAAAGAAGGAAAAAAACAACACAGCTGTCACTGAAATAAGGTGAAATTGACAAAAGTAATAAGAAAAAAAAAAGGAAAATCATGACTTTGCTTTTGAATTGCGGTTCAACAGAAATATGGGGGGAAAAAAACAAAACAACAAGCATGATGGGACCTGTAAACTAATATTTAGTTAAACAACGAAACTCCGATTTTCACGGAAACCCCTTTTGTTAAGTCAGCAGCACTTGCTAGTTAGATTTTACAAGTAAGTACACAGCTTGTGGTGTCGTTTTAAGATGACGGCCATTACTGGTACCATGGCTCATTCTAGATGCAAACATGCAAAAACAACACTGCCCAGAGGTCCAAAATGGAGAAAATCCAGGTGTTTCCAGGTCATTTTACAACCGTGGACATAGTCAGGCTTCTTTGCAGCTTGTGTTTTCAATACATCCTTTCCAAAGTATGTTTTTGTTGATCGTAAGAGGAATTGTGCTTTTGTTTGATCTAGAAATAATGGAGTTATTTAGAGGTGACACACCTTTGTGTCGGGGTGTACTCACTTCTGTTTTATACTGGATGTTTGACAAAAATAATGCACTCTGCTGTGTTTATGATTCTGTTTGATCCTTTACAGTCAAACTGTATGCAGACAACACTTCACACATCTTCCTCCCCGTAGCAACAGGCTCGTTATCGTCACTGTTGAAAAAATCACTCACATCACAAAGTTCACCGGTCGAGCTTGTTCTTTGTATTTTCAGGTGTTTCATAGTCACAACATGTTCCACAAGTTTAGATTCTGTTGCCTTTCGTTTGTAACTTATGCAGGTAAATTACTCAGAGCAGAACTTCTGACAACTTACTTAACAATAAATCATGACTTGTCATTTCAGCAACAGATTGTATTTACACAAACATTTAAAAGAAAAAAGTGCTTTAAGGTTTGATTACACATTCAAACCTTTTCCCTAAATTCATTCCCTTTCAAATACACAATAAAAGAAGCTGCTGCAGGACTGTTACACAATGGCAAGAATAAACAGTTCATACAAGCTAAGCAGTGAACTTGGTACATTCATCCTTTAGGTCCTCTTCACCTTTTTATTTTATAGACAAAAGAACTTTGTTAGTGAATGTAAATGGCAGTCTTGTTCTCATGGCTGTCCCTCTTCAGTTGTTTCTTCAAACAGACTGAGCAGGTTCTTTGGTTCAAAGTTGGGTCGGGGACAATCCTCCTCCTTTCGGACCCAGTTGCGACCGGATCGCTGTGAGGACTTGGTGGACGAGGAGCTAAGGCTCTGCATGGAGCCTGTGTGGAGCTTGGTGTGTATGGGGCTGGCACTGGGTGTCAGTGTGCGGCAGGAACCATTTGAGTGGATGCTGGAGGGGGTAGGAGCCAAAGACCAGTCAGCCAGACGTGAGTGAGTGGGTGTGTGGCCAGGACTTTGGCGACTGCGTATCAGTGAACCTGGGAGAGGAGTGGATGTGCTGTCAACTGACAATCTGGATTTGACCCTGGAAAAAGAGGGAAAACAGAAACATTAAAAAAGGAATTTAGCAGAAATAACTGAGTTAGCTCGAGGCAAAAGCAAAGTTAGTGGCTCAACAACAGTTTCCCTGCTTTGTTGCTTTACATTTAAGAGATGAAGCCAAATTGTGTAGGGTTTTACATCCATCATCTGTACACCGCTTAATCCTCATTAGGGTTGCGGGGGGCTGGAGTCTATCCCAGCTGACTCAGGGTGAAGGCAGGAGACACCCTGGACAGGTCACCAGTCTATCACAGGGCTACACTTAGAGACAGACAACCAAGCACACTCACATTCACACCTACGGACAATTTAGAATCACCAATTAACCTCAACATGTTATTGGACTGTGTGGGAGGAAGATGGAGAACCTGGAGAGAACCCACGCTGCACGGGGAGAACATGGAGACTCTACGCAGAAAGATCCCGGGCGTCCTCACCGGGGATCTTCTAGCCTTGAGGTGACGGTGCTAGCCACCGAGGCACCTTGCAGATCAGGGTTTTATATGCATAAAGGGATTTTTGGCACCTTCCAAGAGCTTTTAGCCACGCCAAAGGAAACTTAGCAGTGGCTAAATAAGACCTGAGAATGAACAACTGGGGCTTCATTTGTTCAGGCAGAACAGACTTTGTTAATCAAATGGTCAGAAATAAAAAGAAACTGCACAAGTGTCTGTCAAATAAGGGACCACAGACTTCTTTCCTTTTCTGAGTCTGGAAGTGAGAAATTCTCCTTCATGCCTTCAGATTAACGAGCAGTGGCAACAAGCTTTCCAACACCATCCTCCTGTAAACGACTCCCTACCTGTGTGAGAAGGTGGGCGAAAGCTCTGGGTCTGTGTGATGCTGAAACACTGCATCATCCTCTGGGCTTCCCAAGTCAGTATGCATGGCACTGAGGGACAGGGTCATGTCGCTGTCCCAGCTGTCCTTAGGAGGAGTGCAGGGTACCGGTTTGTCCGAATGAGGGACGAAGGAGGAGTGAAAGCAGGAGAGGAGTCTACACCCAAAGCACACCACCAACTATGAGGAGACACAAAAATATGAAAATGTCACTGTTAAAGTTAAGTAAAATACACTTTCATGGTTCATGTGAATTCCATGTTGCACATTTTTTGAGAGAAAACTGTGTTTTATGACATTTTGGTTGTTATTAAATTGTCACTGCTGGCTTTCTGCTGATCGTCAACCAGCTGCTCTGTGCAAGGCTGCACTTTTAATACACTGAATTATTTAAACCAAGCTTCAAAATGTATTGTTTAAAGGGCTTATTGGAAGCACTACCTGGCACAGGGAGGCGAGTGACAGCAGAGTCTCAGCTACCATTAGATAAATGCGCCTTTTCCACCTGCGTTTCCGAACACAGGGGAGGGCGAGAAGCTCAGACACTGTGGGCCTCTCAGACGGTTCTGGGGCCAGCATCATGCGGAGGACTGTCTGCAGCTCATCTGACAGGCCTGCAAACACAGGCAGAGGAAGGATAATGTAAACTGAATAGAGATAATGGGACGTTTTATGAGGACTAAAAAGAAATGGATCTTACCATTAGTAAACTCTGACGGGAGGCAGCCCTGTCTGAGCTGCTGCCATCCTTCACCCCCGTTGGGAACCTCAATATTACAGGCAAGCTCCAGAATAGAAACACCCAAACTAACACAAAAAGATTTGGTGATATTTAGACATTATTTAAATCAGATCAATCAGTTCCACATTTTAGAAGGCAATTTCATTTTCACATTTATGGTTTGTATACCTGAAAACATCTGCAGCAGGTCCATACTGCCCACGGAGCAGCTCAGGAGCCATGTATCTGGGATCTCCCTCCTGGGCATCGTCTTTTACTTTCCCCTCTACAGGCTCTGTAGTCGTCTGGTTGAGCTCCAGCAGCAGCCCGAAGTCCCCGAGCTTCAGACGTCCAGAGTCAGTGATGAGGACATTGGCAGGCTTCAGGTCCAGATGCACAAAACCATGAGAGTGCAAGTGCTGCAGCGCTGAGAGGAGGTCGCCCAGGTAGGCCCAAGCTGCAGGCTCATCTGGATCGACACCAATCAAAAAGTAAGTCAGTATGTCTGAGGATTTAAGATGTTTCTCCAGCAAGAAGTGCATAATTTATATGTATCTGAACATCACAGATAATATAATATCTGAATAGGTTGTTATTATGATTTTTGGACAGACCTGGACCAGGAGGCTGGTTCTCAGCGTGGTGCAGCAAGCTGGTGTTACACAGCTCTGTCTGGATGTACAGTCGGCCACACTCCTCCCAGGCTGCCACGAAAGTCAGGATGTGAGGGTGAGGACACAGGCGCTCGTGGTTCCTGGCCTCCCTCACGCTCCGGTTCCTCTCACTGTTACCCCTGAAGCGTCGAGCAGAGCGCTTGACTGCATACTGGCGACCGTCCTTGTTGCTTTGCACCTAGAAAAAAAGAGAAAAGGCTCAGATCTGGTCCTCCATTCAGATGTCAACATACAATAAAGATGAGAAAAGAAGGCTTTCAGGGATATTCACATAGAAGAACAGTACAGGTGTTCAAACGATCAAGGATTCTTGTAAATTCTGTTGCGTAACGTAACTCTCTCTCATCCTAATCCAATGTCCAGGAATAGTTTTAACAGAAACAGTAGAAAACAAATGATAGGATTTAATAGATGCCGTCTATGAGCTCGTAACAAGTTTTCAAATTGGCTTTAAATTTCTGATCTTTAAGTCAGAAAGTTAATTTCTTACCCAACCCAGCACCTTATGTTGCTTTAGCAGCTTAAACCTTCATACACACACATACACACTGAAATCTTACTCACCTTGAAGACCTCTCCAAAGGAGCCTCTACCCAGCAGGCCCAAATTAGTGAAGCACTGAGTGAAATAGGACTGCTGTTTGCTCGGATCGTACTCAGAATTTGGAGGGGGAGACTTACTAAGAGAAAGAGACAGGGGTGTCCAGGGGGACTGGTGCTGGGGGAACACCCTGCTCAAAGAGGGACATCCCTTAGACGGTGGCAGTGGCGGCAGAGAATGTGAGAGATGGGCGGGGGAAGAGTGGGACGAGTTGGAGGGAGATGACAGGGAAAAAGGGAGACGGCGCTTTTTCAGGGAGAAGGACTGCTCTGCATGGGAGAAGTGGGTCGGAAGAGGGAGAGGCATCCTGGACACTGTGGCTTCCACTGCGACAGACATCGTGTAGGGCCTTCCTCAGTTCCTTTCCACAACGAAGGCAAGCTGCAACATTTAGAAGAAAAAATAGAAAACACGAGCAATCAGAGCTGCACAATAGATCATTTCAGCATCACCAACATCATGAGAACACGAACAATAGTCACACTGCAGGAAGCGTAATGTGATACAATTAACTTAATAACATCATGCTAGAATTTTTTTTTTTATAAAAATAGAAAACTCACATTGTTTTCATCTTACATGACTGATCTACAAGCTGTCAGATGTAGCACAATTTAAAGGTTCCTGGATACACAGATTTTTCTAAACTTTACTCAAAAGACAGATGTTGTTGACATACAGGCTCCATGTGTACACAGCAAACCAAGCAACAAACAGAAGAGGAAACCCTGAAAAGGAAGATTTGGTTGGAACAAGAAACACAGCTTCAGCTGTACAGAAATTTTGGCTACGGAAAGTATGATGTCAACTAAAAACAGACACTCTGACAGATGCAACATGGCTGATCTGTTCGACCACAAAGCTCTGGATGACGAGTGCAAAGCCACATCAAATGCAAAGCAAAAAATAAAAGTACTTAGGATGTCTTTATCATTGTTAAACCAGTTGAAAGAGGTTCCAAATGGCTTTTGTCAGCTTTTAAAAATAATACAAGGCAGAAGAAGTCCCCTACAGGAATCACCCCAATCCTTCTAGAAGGATTAAATGATTCTAAATATATTTATTAACAGTCATTTGGTGAAAACTGTGTAAGTTTCTTCTTTCATTTTGGTTGACAGTTAATATCACTGCAAAGTCGGTGTAGTTTTATCTTTGCTGATGCATAGAACCCTGATAATCTACAATTATGAAGATCTAATTTGTTAGATTTCCACAAAACCGGAGCAAAGACATATGATTTAAATGTCCCCCTAAAACATAGTGATTTGCACTCTAACATTTGATCTGCCAAAGGACAAAAAAAAAACAAAAAACATGTTCCTTCACCAGAATATCTGTAGTACAAGGAAACTGAAGATTGTTCTTTTTCTGCCCTGCCTGGTGAACGACTACAGAGATCTGACTTGTTGAATTTCTCGTCTGACAGGTTGTAGAGCGTTTATCTGGTATCGGTATCGATACAGTCCTCTGGATCGATTGACGATAAGCTCATTTGCAAATCAGCAGGTCCTTCCAGTCTGGAGACAGCTGGGGGCGTTAATCGGTGTACGGTTGTCCTCAAATGTATTCCTGTCCTTCCATTAAAGAAAAGGCAAAATTCACAATAGTCACTCAAATAACGAGAAACTGAAAAAAGTAGCAATAAATAAAAATTTGCTAAATTAGAATTTAGTGAAATAAGACATTGCTTTTGAATTGTGCTTGAAAGAATATTAAAAAAATAAAAAACTGTCCTGGACAAATTAGAGCACTTTGTTGATGAGCAGTGAAATCAACATACCTGTCACCAGGTGCAGAAGTCTGACTGAGTTACAGAAAACACTTAATGCAGTGATTGGCTCAAAGGGTTGTTCAACTAGATATTAGTTTACGGGTCCCAACATGCTCGTTTTTTTTCTAGTTGTTTTTTTTTTTTTTTTTTAAATATTTCTGTTGAACCAAAATTCAAAAGCAATGTGATGATTTTTATTTATTATTACTTTTGTCAATTTCAGCTTATTTCAGTGACAGCTGTTTTTCCCGTCTTTAATGGGAGGGTTTGGATACATTTGAGGACGACTGTATCTGACCTGCTGAATGTAACACAGCTACGTTAACTGAGTAAACAATTTGACAACGTCAGTCTTCAGCTGTAACATTTATTTTATCTACATTTCTGAACCTGCTATAGCGAACGTAAACCATTTAGCATCCTTTGCTAGCACTGACAACTGTACTACAGATCTTGGCCAACGTTAAGCCCGGACGGACCAACAACAACCATAACAACACAACCTTGCTAGCGAGCTAACCTTCCTTCAAATCACTAACAGTAACCGACGCTTCAGTTGTAAATAAAGCAGAATTAATTAAAGTTATCACACAGACCATAGTCCAGTTTTAACGACCGCTTTCCAAACAGTTTGGCTCCGACAGTTGCCGTATTCAACTCTGCGGAGCTCCCTTCAGCCATGAAACCAGCTCGCGCCAAATTCTGAACATTTGACGCAGCGCTGCGCAGCTGCGGTCCGTGAATACGCCGCGCGCAGCTACATTGCGCAATTTCCGCAAGCGGTGCAGTCTGGGGTTCTGCTGCACAACACAGGGCTGGCGTATCTGGCTAGCTAGCTGACCACTTGAAATGGTAACTTTATTATTATTACTGTCGACGATTTTCTGAGATTGGTGTGTAGATACAAACACGGAATTATCGTCAGGCGCTGTGTTCGCAAGTATTAAAGCTACAATAACGAAGGAAACTGCCTGTTATAGAAATGTTAATTTCACTTTGTTTATGCTAAGCAGCTAAAGCTAAGTTTGCTATGTTAGCTTCCTATCTGTAACGGGAGGTGCAGCTAGCGAGGTAACTTATGTTAGCTTGGCTAACCTTGGAAGTATCGTTAGCCAACTAACTAACCTGGTTCACTAGTCAGACCAGCTGAACGTATATCGTCACGGTCCTACCTACAGTGGCTCTTTAGTAAACTGTCGGGCCTAATTTTGATTGAGGTCTGAAGACTGTTTCCTAATCGGCTAATTTCGCGTTAGCTTTGAGCTAGGTCTGCTTGTCACTGCTACCTTCGAGCTTATGAATCAATGAATTGTCAGCAGCGTTAATTCTGCTGTATCCGGCGAGAAGAACGTAAGCTAACCCGCTAACTAAAGACTTCACATGTCTCCGCTGACAAGCCTCGTTTGGTCCACACTCAGGTTATGTGATTTAAACAGTTGTAGGGTGGACGTACAGTATTAACGTCTTACATGGCCTACTGAGGTGTTCAGTCAAATAAAGGAGTTATTGTCTGACATCCTGCTTATAAGTTAAATGAACCACAAGTAATCTTTCGTGTTTGATTACAGTTTAAACTTTTAGTGGAAATAACCAACTTCTCGTGTTAGAGGTTGTCCATCGTGGTTTAGATTTCATTGTGTGCCCACTTTCTTCTAGGACGTGTTCTTAATGATCCGGCGTCACAAGACCACAATCTTCACAGATGCCAAGGAGTCCACCACTGTCTATGAACTGAAGCGTATTGTTGAAGGAATACTTAAAAGACCGCCTGAAGACCAGCGGCTCTACAAAGTGAGTTTAGCGTCAGAGTGACTGGTGATACGTTTTGTATTAAGTTAAAACACATGCAGGGGATCTCGCCACATTTACACTGGCTGCACGTTACGTCCTACATTTTAAGGCCGTTAATGGATTCAGCTGTTGTTCCACAGGATGACCAGTTGCTAGAGGACAGCAAGACCCTGGGTGACTGTGGATTCACCAACCAGACCGCCAGACCTCAAGCTCCAGCTACAGTTGGTCTAGCTTTCCGTATAAATGGTACGTTCCCCCTCCTCCACCATATTAGGGGAATTTCTGAGTAACAAGTATTTCCTGCCTTTCTGCTGTTTTTCAACCCGATCCTGCTTTTCTGGTTGGGGAACTCTTCAACAAGTTTGGGCATTTTTGATGAATGATTTGTTGAATGTCAGGAAATTATTTCTTGTGCTGATTTTTATCTGAATTGATTTTATTTGCAGAGGCACTGCTGAAACGTATTCATTTTTTCACACTCAGTTGTCAGTCTTTGGTTTTCGATGCTATCTAGGAGGTCGTTTTTCATTACGTAATGTTTATGCTGTGTGATTTTTAACCGTAGTTTGTCTACTTTGTTCAGTAATTTTCTAATATTTCACACAGTTCTCCTAAACGGTCCTTAGAGAACATGACTATGTTCACTCTTTTAATGAAAGTAACCAAGGACGTACTTATAAGAAAGATATCGTGCCTCTTACTCAACATGCATTACAGAGGCAGGAGACGTTGGTGTTGCTGCCTCTTCCTGAATGATTAGTCCCTGTTCGACCTTCACAAGTTGCTGCAGCGCTACAGATATGCGGTTTCAATCATTTATCATCACAATCTCAGTGTAGCTATTCAGCATATCTCAGCTTGATGCCATGTGGCTTGAGAAGTACAGAAAGTGAATATATCCAGCCATGGTTTACGCTGGGTGGCTACTCAGGTTCTAACATCACTAAATGAGGCGTACTGTGAGTGATTTAAAGGGCAGTATGAATACAGTTATGTTGTGAAACAACTTTTCAAGAAACATAGTTGGATTTTAAACTGGCTATGAATATAGTTTAAATGTGATTCACGGAGACTAGAGCTCTTGTGGATTTTGATTAATCTGTTGATTGCTCTATAAAATGTCAGAAAATGTTGAGTAATGTCAATTAGTGTTTCCTAAACCCTAAAACAACGATATCTTGTTTTGTCCACAACCAGAAGATGTTCAGTTTACTTACTTTAGAAGCTGGAATTTGAGGATTTTTACTGTTTTTTTTCTTGAACCATTGTTCAAAACAGTTGGTGATTGATTTAATAGTTGACAACAACTTGATTATTGTTGCAGCTCTAATTTACACAAGACCTTCTTAAAATGTAACCAAAGTACCCTTGCCTCAAAGCTGTGAATTACCCAACTCAGAGCGCATTAACCCGACTAGTTTTACTTTCAGGCGTGTCCTTAATTTGAATTTAAGTTGGTTCACTGCGATATGCTCGCCACAGTAAATGTTCGCTGCAGCAACTCCGGTGCCGTGACTTATGTAACGGCGCCGAGCTGTCAGGATGGAGCTCATGTTTCCTCGTCTCCTCTGCCCTCCAGATGAGATGTTCGAGCAGCTGCACATCGAGGCCTTCTCCAGCCCCCCAGAACTCCCTGATGTGATGAAGCCTCAGGACTCCGGTAGCACTGCCAATGAACAGGCAGTGCAGTGATAGCGGGGCGAGGAAACGAGCAATGGAGGGAAGGATGGAAGTGGGTGTGTGTGGATTAACTGCAGTGAAGAAGTAGCGGGGTGGAGGATATGTAATATAATCTGGATGGGGACATTATGGGTAACCAAGCCTATCCATGTTACCTTCATGCTATCATCTCAGCACCCTCCCCCACCTCCCCCCCTCCCCTTTCCCAATTTACTTCACAAATCTTTTTTTTTTTTAAACTCTATTTGATTTCCACATCACATGCGGTTCTGCTCCTTGAATTTGCTCTTAAGCACCAACCGGCTCAAACCTTTGAGTGAAGAAGTTGGTTCCGAAAGTATGATTGTGTACGTGTGTGTGTGTGTGTGAGTGTGTGAGTTGTTATAATTATTATCATTAATATTTTGGAAAAGGTGGAGGCATAGTTGTGTGTCACAGTGCTCTAGAAGTAACATGCATGGATAAAGAGTCCAGTGTCTGAATTAGCAAAACTGCATGAACAAATTCAAAACAAAGGCTTTATTTTCACGGCAACAGATAGACCCACCACTGATAGGTTTCCTTGGTCCGACTCTCCCACTTCTGTTGTACATTTCTGATTTGATTTCATACCAGGAAAAGAACTTCTTTACGATAGTTATGTTAATTTCTTTTCTCTTTTTTTTTTTGTTGTAATTTTGTTTCTTCAGTGTGTTTTACTCGTCAGTCCTTTTGTTGTGTTTCATGCACTGAGACCAAAGGCAGGTACCTCTTGGACAGCAGAGGGATATTTTTTGGTCAGAGGACATTCTGTCTGTGACATACAGTATAACACAGGAGGAGTGTTTTCTTGCGTTACTTTAAAAAGGAAAGGCAAAAAAAAAAGAAAACTGCATCCATCACATGTCACCAACATTAATGTGGCACCTTCCCCTAGTCACACAAACATAGCCTGTAACTGTGAGCTTGCTTAATTAAAAGTTTTTCCTGTTTTGTTTTTTATTCTGCTTGCTGATTGTTGTTATTTGTGTGTTTGGCAATATTTAATGTGGAGAACAGAATCTGAGGGATTAAGGAGGTCAGGTTTGTCACAGCAGTGGTGAAGGTGTGACGAACAACACAGTGGGTGCTTTTCATTATGCCAACTTATGCATCCACTTAGATACACCTCGAGGAGAGAGGAGGCTTTAGGAGGAGCTGAGAAAACATGGGTGTATCCTGTGCAGTCATCTTTTATCCGGTGACCTGGTGTATGAAAGCCACACCTTTGTGGGCGCTGGATTTGACAGGAGTGCACAATAACCAGCTGGTTTAAGATTAACGCAATGGAGTGAAGGATTTCTCTCACTTCCTCAGTAGAAGGAGCTTAGATGGGAAGTGAGGAGACACGTTACCATAAAGAAAAGCACCCGGTGGCTCTGTCCGATGCAGTGACAGTGAACCAGCTATGCACACTGAGCAGCTACATGAAATTCTCACCTTTATTTTTCTATTATTTCTTCCTGTGACATGTCAGAAATGTCCAATCAAAAAGGTCTACTGTTATTTTTTTTGCTGGGCATTTTAGAGCTACAGCCAGTTTTTCTTTGATCATTAAACTTTCACAGTTTATTTTTTTCCTAAAGGCAGGTTGCCTGTTATTTTGGATTTTGTGGCAAGTTCATGAATGAACACAAACAGCAAATCAACAGCGTTATTACACAGCATCTCCAGATCAAGTCCCAGGTATCTGTTTCTTCTTCCCTGCAGACGTTTTGACTTGCGCAGGTGGAATTAGTTTCATTATGTGTTGTAAGTTATGATTGTGAACCAGAACAGCGCTCACATGGAGCATCTCCTAAACACAGCTGTGTCACAGATTACCCGACATACAGACAGACCTGGGCTCAGAGATGCGATCCAGTAAAGGGATACAGGTTAGCAAGTTGTTCACTATATATATATATATATATTTATGTAAAGTTTCTAAAAAGATGTTTGAAACTTGACAGGCAACTGGAAGAAGTGGGTTCATACTGGCCACAGAGAGATCAACTCATCAACCAGGTTCAGTGTAACGAAGGAGAAAAGCCACAGTCCTCATTATGTGTGGAAATTATTTAAACCCTCTAAAGTACAGGTGAATTTGCTGTAAGTATCCCTTCACCACCACTGGACAGGAGGAAGGATACAAGTGGATGAATGAAAATGAGAGATGCACTTAGAAAATAATGTGAGCGTAACCTTTAATCCTGCGAGTGATGTAGAGACAAATCTTGGAAAAAAGTTCTTGGACAATCATGTAGTGGATTCCTAAATCTGCTATTTAAAAAAACCCAAAAACCCAAAATTGTTAACGAAGCTGCTAAATGAGTTAAAATGAAACTGCACCAGTTGATTTGTGACATTGAGACGAGGTTTTTGAATATTTGTGGTTAAATTTGAGGCCAGTGAGGCATTATATCATAAAATATTATTTAATTTGCATAAATGTGCAAATGGAAAAATGTATAGAATGTCATTTTTATTCAATATTGAATAAACAATTACATTCATACATAATAAACACGCCTTGGAAATAAATAGATATGAAATATTCCCTGAAACATATCATTGAGGCAATAAATATAGAAATAAATGTAATAAATTTTAGTTTTGTCAGGTAATTTTTTAAAGGACTGCTTGTTTTTATTTCAGAAGACTTTTTTTTTTAATGAATTTATTTTATTGGAAATGTTTATTTTATTCATTATTAATAAATAACCAATAATTCAACAAATGTA